ATCAGCGAATGAATTACCTTTTAGATGTTTTTATCTTTACTCCTGAAGATCTGATGCTGAATGCAACAGTCCTTCTGTGGCCTCAGAAGATTAATCCCATTTTTGATGAAAACGATGATGTAAAGATATTTTCTTTGTACATTATGTATTCTAATTTGTTCGGTGTAATACAGCATTTCAACAGTTCATTTTCATCATTGCTAACTATTGTCCAAGTCAGTCATATAAAATAACAGTAATTAAAAGGTGATCCATAGCACCAGATTTACATATCTGTATGCAAATCTATACCTACTGGTGTACTTGCAGAGAATATAATAATTGTATATTTACTAAGTACCAGTAGTTTAAAAATATAGAAAATTGCCATTTGAATTTTAAACCTTTGGAAAGTCTGTTATGTTTGGTTTGTGTCTAGTACTTGATCATTCAGAGTGGTGTTATAGTATTTTAGCCATGCTGGAAATATCACAAAAAAGCCTTGCCTCTTGGATACCTCTTAATTCAGAGGAAGGCGGAATTTCACTGCAGTGCACTTAGTCAATTGAGTAGCACTGTACATATTAAGTAAGATTCCTTCCAGCCCCCTGGAAAAAATCTGCCTTGAAGCATGTGAGTTGAGTAATGTAATTTTAATTTGCACAAATATAAATGTTGTTAGTGGTCAGAAGATGATCCAGATTCTAGAAGCATCCCCATGTCTGGGCAATTTATTCAGGCCCTTTTAGGAATTCAGTCATCAGTTAGCTAAAATGTATATGAAGAAGTTATTTTTGTTTCTAAGTTTACTCCTAATTCTTTCACATGATGCTGTGTTCTCTAATTAAGATAATTAGGAATGATAAAAATTTGCTAATGAAACACATGCCAATGTTGAAATTTTCCATGTATGATTCTAGTTCATAGTAAATAGATTACCTTATTATTTTTCTGCTTCCTCTTTAAATGGTTGCCCACAGAGTCCATTGGGTGTTGTTAGTACTAAGGAGGAGGCCTAGTGGTGGAAAGCAGGTCTCTGAAACTGAAAATTTACCCAACCTGCACGATGGTTAGGCATGCCAATGTTTATTTTATTGAACAAAAAATATTTTTTAGGGGCGTTTCAGATCCCTAGCAAATGTCATTTGAATTCTGCCTCTACAAATATGCAGAGAGCTTGTGATGTCTATTTAAAACTATCTTTGAAAGGTAAATGTAGAGTGTGCCTGATTCCAAGATATTCTCTTTTAGGTACCTGCTGAGTAGAAAGAATAGTTTCCCCACTGTAGCCAGTTTCATTGAGTGGTTGGGCTACAAGACACCTTTAAAGGTCTAAGATGTTGATCCAGCTCTGAGACTTCATGCTTTTATTAAGAACTCTAGACCTTTACATTAGTCCTTCTTATTTTAGTCCTACTGATTGAGGACTAAAGATGTTTCAGATAAACTTTAACATTAGTTTTCTTCCTTCATATTGGTCAAGAGAGAGGCTAAATATCAGCATGCTAATTTGTCTAAATGTAATACTTTGAAACTGCATTAGTATCATGAGTCTGGGGAATCACATTCTTCAGCTTCAGTACTGTGTCCTCTATCTTTGTTGACTTTTTTAGGCCTCATGGGTGCTGGTACTGTACCAGGCACTTTCTTGACTATAGCTGAAGTTAACCTGACCAATTCTTCAGAACTGGAATCCCTGTTACTTTATTTCTCTTCTTGGACTGTAGTATCCAGGACTGCCAGTAGCAAAGCTCAAAGAACCAAATATGACAACATTTTTGCATCCAATACCTACAGTTCTAGTGACTACCTCTGAGGTGCTAGAGTCTGAGGCTACTCCTATTTCTGTACCTATTTCTATTTTCTTGAAGAATTCTGTTTGTCTGCCTTGTTGCATGGCAAAATGAACCCTTCTCTCAGATCTCTGTCTAGGTTGATTCCTTACAGTCATTTTGGAAGGTGTCCCTCTCATTATAGAACTCATGCTTTCAGAGTGGCCTTGTGTCAGGTTTCTACCTTTGTATTACCATATACCCTTCCCCACATAGGGTTCAGAACTTGCCCTTTTGTTTACTATGAAACCCTCAGCCATTTCCATCTACTTCTCATTTGGTTACATTTATGTCCAAAATAAGGTTATTTCCTACTCAGATTGTCCTAGGAGTCCCAGTCATCTAGGAGTAGATCTGATATCTTTTATTAGACCAACTGAGTAACTGGAAAAAGCTCTAGGCAAGCTTTCGGGTGCAGTCACCCTTCTTCAGGAATAGGAAGTCTCTGCAGTCTCTCTCTTTTTTCCAGCTACACAGTTGGTCTAATAAAAGATATCACATTACTCAAAAAACCTTGCCTGCGTATGTCCTTAGACCAACACAGCTACAACCAAAAACCCAGTCATCTTGTCAGGAACTCCTGTACACTGGTGAGCAATTACACTGTAGCAAGGAGGAAAACTTCATGATGGAATTAACCTATCCTTCCAGACATATTATTGTCATCACCAGGTGAAGCTGTGACACTGTCTGTTATGTCCGTAACAGACAATTTTGGAGTTTTTTTATGGACCTCCTTAAAAGAGTGATTGCCTGTTTTAGAGACTTCTTTGGAGGTTGTACGTGATATTCTGCACCAGGTCAACTGGCTATCCTATTAATTAAGCTTAAATACTAATCCTATTAATCCAGCAGGCTATCCTAAGCCTGCTGGAGACCTATGATGGAGGTATTTCAAATTTGATGGAAAAGGCCTGTTTTGTTCTTGTTCTTATGTTGTGTTATTGCTCAGAGTTCTAAGGAAGAGATATCAGAAGAGTCCTGTGATGATATTTTCATCCTGAGTATGTCAGTTTAGCTCAGAGGTAGGCAGCCCCCAGCATGTGTGCCAGAGTGAGGCATGTGAACAATTTTGCTTGGTGTGCACATCTTGGGGCAGACAGCAGGGAAGGACCAGGGCTGCACTGCCACAAGGATCAGGCTTCCCTGCCATCTGCCCCAGGCATGCCAGCATCTTACAAGTCAAGGTTGCTGGTGCTTTTAGCACTCTGGCCAAAAATGTTGCCATCCCCTCATTTATCTGCTTCCACATGATACACTAACAGCCAGACTATTTATTGCATTTCCAAACCTACTAGACAACATTTTGTCAGAGTTGAAATTTGACAACATGGAACTAAGTTTGCACAGAAGCAGTTCAACAGCTGTACAAGAGGTTTTGATATGAAAAGAAATGCAGACATCAAGCTGAGTGAAGGTGTTTTGTCTATTCAGAGTTGCATTCAGTCTTTGGACTCTTTGTTTCAACCATTGTTTGCCCCCTGTACCCACATCCCACAGTATCTAGGTTTCTTAGGGGCTTAATTCACATATTTCCACTAGTTTAAAGAACCATTTTCTACCAGGGATTTTCATGCTTACAGTTTTTATGGCCCTTCCATTTGAAATCCATGTTACTGTATATTTTTTTTTTATCATTTCTTTGTCAAAATAGTATTCTTCATAGCTATCACCTTGGCAGAGAGAGAAAGCTTCAAATCTTGATGGGTGGCCCTTCATGTTTCACCTGGAAATAATTATTCAGACCACATCCAAAATGTTTACTAAAAGTGGTTGACTTTTCCTATAAACTAGTTTTGTACAATTACCAGTGTATTTTTCTAATCTTGTGATGCTGCTGAGATTAACTGCAGACAGTGGACATTTATTTTTCCAGCAAAGATGTCTTGATTTCTTAAATGTGAACAGCAGCTCAGTGAAATTTGCTTTATATATCTACTAATCACTACTCCATTGTCTCAGCCTCTGACTTAGATGCCCAGATGACAGCACTGTTCTGTATTTTTTATATGACTCCTCTTAACAACTTCTTTGAGGCTTATCTATGAGTTACTCATCTATGTTCAGATCGTGTGCACAAATGCTTGAAAAGGGAAAAAGAGGTCACTTGTCATATTGCAAGTGGAGTTCTTCAAGATGCTCTTGTACTCACAGATCTTTATCTGTTCCCCACTGATATATTAGTGATGAAACTGAGTAGCAGCTGGGCATTTTCCATCTTTTGTATTATTGCTGTTGGGGGTACTTGGACAACCCTGACAGACACCACTGGCTAAAAGATTCTGGGCTCACATGCATAGGAAACACATACCTATCATGTGATCCTTGCAGACAAAGTCATCTCAACTCCAATTACTTTAAGTTAAGTAACTATTCGCTACCATTTATCTTTCCTCTTTCTGGTCTTGTAGCACTAACTTTTGAGGCATTGATGCTTTGTGTTGATCATTGAAATGCTTGTTGAGAGATTTTTTTGTCTTTAAATCCAAAAAATGATCTGCTTTTGTAGCTTATTGAACAATCTAAACGTAAAGGTGAAAGTGAACTACTGGCCAAACGTGAGAGGCTTATGTTGGAAGTAGAAAAACAGACACGCATTATGGAAGAATTTGAAGAATATGCTGAATTGGATCGCATGCAACAGGTTTGATAAATAAAGTATAAAAGAAGTTCAAATAGTCAAATATGTTTAACGGAAGGATCATGGAGGCAATTAAAAAATGTAGCAAATACTTTTGATAAACACAAAAGTTAATCTTTTAAAGTTACATTTTTAATTCGCTTACTACCTGCCATGTTGATATAACTCGTTAGTCAGTCAGGTACTTGGTAGCTACTATAGTGACACTAATATTACGGTTGGATGGAAAGTTTACATTAATGACTTTGTTCCAGCAAGCCAATCAAGTAATCTCAGAATGGTCTGGTATGAAAGATATGGAAAGTGAGGCTGCTATACACATGCTCGTTGGTGTTCTACTGAGAATGCGTCAGAGCAGACTCAATTAATCTAGCCATTTTTAAACATGTGGGGGCCTAATACACGCGACAGTGAAGTGTTTTAATTAAAACGGCTGCCCAGGAACTGCTCTAATTAAAATGCCGCCTTCCCTTCCCCCACCTCGAAGCACGTGTATAGGCAGCCTGAATCCTTTTGAGTTGGATCCGAGCAAGACATGTTAGGTGAAATCCCAAATCCAGTGAAGTCATTAGGAGGTTTTCCAATGACTTTTGGAGCCAAAATTTCATTAGTTGGTTTTGGTACGGTCAGCTCTGGGAAACAATTATCAAGTCTGGTTTGCTAATGGTTTTAGTTTCATAATTGTAATAGGAATTTGAGATTTACATTAACCTCAAAGCTCCACTGTATGCTAACAGTGGGCTAAATGCTGAAACTGACTTCCCAAACCCATTTTCTTAACCACTAAAACACTCCCTTCCACGTGCTTATGATTTAATAAGATGCTTAAAAGAGAAGGTGCCTAACTTCTTGATTGAGTGATTTTGTACATTAAAACAATTCACTCAAAAGCAAGAAGTGGTTACTTAAAATCAGAAATCCCAGTTGCTGAGACTGTGCATCAACTGGTGAAAAGTTATTGTCTTCTTTATGGTACAGCATTACTTTCAACATCAAATAATTTGGATTTTTTTCTCATGTTAGAACTGAATAAAATAAAATTTAATGTTAATTTTCTCAGTTAACATTAAATTTTAATATTCTCAATATTAATCTATTTTTTCAGTATAGGGAATCTCATAGTATATCTGTTTGAGGGAAAAAATTATTACCTTTGTCAAAGAACAAGAAGCTAACTTTGTCTTGTACTTTAGTATTTAAATATACCTATCAAAGCATGAACAGAATTTCTCAAAAGTTTTTACAATTATTTGATTTCAGTATGTGACTGACATGAGGGCATTACAGAAACGCATACAAGAAGCTGATGAAGCAGTTGCTTTTATTAATAAGGAAGAGAGACTTTTCAAGTGGGAGCTGACTGAGTATCCAGTCCTTGAGAACTTAAAAGTTAACATTGAGCCATATCAGAAACTGTTTGGTCTTATACTGAAATGGCAACGAACAGAAAAACGGTAATTATACACTGGATAGTCCCAATGAGAGAGAAGCTGAAATAGTCAGGCTGCTTTTATTTGTCTGAGCAAGATGCATGAGCTCTTTTGAAGCTTGGGGTCTCCATATGAATATTTGTATTTTTGCCTGTGTATCCAAGTATAGGCAGGCATAGTTTATATTGTTATTATATTAGTTTATTATTTTGTAATCCAGTAAGAAAACAACTCCTTTTGTATATGATTATTGTACCTGTAGATTGGCACTGGTCAAACATAAAAGGAGATAGAGGTCGTGCAAGTAGTTTCTGAAAACTGTGCAACAAGCAGGTTCGCATTTAGAGACCAAGGTTACTTTACATGTTAGAGGAAGAGTTTTCTAATTATCAAGGTTATTATGTATGTAGAGTATTATGCAATTTTTAATTTGTCTGCCTCCACAATGGAACAAAGATATGCTCAAGTGATCACAGTGCCCTCTAGTGGCTGTACTAGATTGCTGCACAAGCTATAATAGTGTTAGGTTAAAAGTCTGCGAGAGTATCACCTAGTGATTCATAGATTTGTAGAAGTAGGGTTGGAAGGGACCTTGTAGATCATCAAGTCCAACCCCCTGCCCTGGGCAGGAGAGAAAACCGGGCTCAAATGACCCCAGCCAGGTAGACATCAAGCCTCCTCTTAAAGCCCCCCAGGGTAGGAGCCATCATCACTTCCCTTGGAAGTTGGTTCCAGATCCTAGCCGCCCTAACTGTGAAGTAGTGCCTTCGGATGTCTAGTCTCAACCTACTCTCCAACAACTTGTGGCCGTTATTGTTACTTGTTACTCTGGGAGGCGCTCGGGGGAACAGGGTCTTTCCCAAACCCTGCTGGTCCTCCCCGGTGAGTTTATACATTGCTACCAGGTCCCCCTTCAGCCTTCTCTTGCAAAGGCTGAACTGGTTAAGGTCCCGTAGCCTCTCTTCATAGGGTCTGCCCTGCTGTCCACGGATCATGTGGGTGGCCCTCCTCTGGACCCTGTCAATGCTGTCCACATCCCTCCTGAAGTGCGGCACCCAGAACTGAGCACAGTACTCCAGCTGCAGCCTGACCAGTCTCTCATAGAGGGGGAGGATCACCTCCTTGGCCCTGCTTGAAATGCATCTGTGGATGCACGACAAGGTACAGTTAGCCCTACTGACCATAACCTTGCATTGTCGGCCCATGTTCATCTTGAAGTCAGTAATGACTCCAAGATCTCTTTCTGCAACCGTGCTCTCGAGAAGGGAGTTTCCCAGCTTATAAGTGTGCTGCTGGTTCCTACTGCCCAAGTGCAGCACCCTGCGCTTGTCAGTATTGAAACCCATCCTATTTTCGTTAGCCCACCCCTGTAACCTGTCCAGGTCCTGCTGTAATCTCTCCTTCCCTACTAGCGTGCCCACCTCACCCCAAATCTTGGTATCATCAGCAAATGTAGACAGGCTGCTTCTTACCTCATCGTCCAAGTCACTAAAAAAGAAATTGAACAGTGCGGGCCCAAGGCCCGAGCCCTGGGGGACTCCACTGCCCACTTCCATCCAGGTCGAAAAAGACCCGTCCACCACTACCCTCTGAGTATGACCCTTCAGGCAATTTGCAATCCATCTGACTGTGTAGGCATCAATGCCACAGTAACCTAGTTTTTTGATGAGAATGGGGTGGGAGACAGTGTCAAAGGCCTTGCTGAAGTCCAGAAAGACTACATCCACAGTGACACCTGTGCTCTTCCAGTCCTCTGGCACCTGGCCAGAGTACCATGAGTGCTCGTAAAGCCGTGCCAGGGGCTCCGCAATAACCCCTGCCAATTTCCTCAACACTGCAGTGCAGTGCAGTGTAGTGCAGTGCAGTGGTTCCCAACCTTTTTAGACTCAAGGCACCCCTTGGAAAATACTCTCTCTTAGCTTTCACTCTTTTTTGACTACAAAAAAATAATACAGCAACTCTTCCATTGCAAAGAACTCAAAGACCACAACTGGGCAGAATGTTTTTGACACTATGGATTCGTGTTGGAAATCTCTGGGTTATTCTTGTGAAACGTGTAGGTGATTGCACACTTCATCGTGCTAATACTGCACAGCACCCTGGTTGAGAATCACCATTGCAGTGATCACATGCTGTGGAGGTTACAAGACCTGATTTTAGCTTAAGAATGTGAACGCTGTGCTAGCTGCTCTTCAGTGGTTTTCACAGAATGACAGAATTGAGAGAGACACAAGCTCATGACTGCATATCCATTCCTTTTTTTTGTGCTTGTTTTCTCTTTACAGTGAAATAGTTATGTAAACTTCTAAAATGTCTTATAAATCCATACAGGATATGCTTTTCATCCTGCTTCATATATAAGGGAAGTGTCAGTGTCACGGCCCACAATGCCCTATCACTCAGCCTTGTGGGTCTTGGACGTGGCACACAGCATGCAGCCCATTCTGGCCCTGGCCTCACCTCTCTTCATGTGGCATGTACAAAACCTGTTTGGGGCAGTCTGTGCAGGGACTGGAGCTGGTACTTGAAGCAAACAGTGCAGGGGGCCAGTCTGGGGTGTGTGCTGGATGCATGTTAGATCTGGGGCCAGTCATGATCCTGGCCACATGTGCCCAAGCCAGCACAGAGGGCTGGTCTAGTGCAGGAAACCATGCAGTGTACACCCTGAATGGGCACTCATGCCAGACTGGTCCTGTGTGCTGGATCCAGGATCAGTCCAGAACGGAGTCATAAACTGGCCCCATGTGCCAAAACTCACATGCCAGGCTGGTCCCACCCACTGTGTACCTCATAGGGCTGAGGATGGTGCTGGCATCTGCTATATGCAGAGCTGGAAGTGAGGCAGGTTCTGCAAGGAGTACATGGGGCCAGTCCAGGGACACTGCTGCAACCTGCCGGCTGACTCCTATACATGGGCTGATCAGTGGGCTCAATCTGGCCCACAGACTAGCCCCATGCCCCTCATCTGACCCACAGGGCTGGATGGGTTTGACACTTGTGATGCATTCAAGCTTTGTTTTTTTTTCCTCAGATGGATGGATGGTGCTTTCTTAGATCTAAATGGAGAAATCATGGAGTCTGAGATAGATGAGGTTTTTCGAGAGCTATACAAAATGTCCAAGGTCTTTCAACAAAAACAGAAGAAAGCAGAGCAAGAAAAGAGGAAGACAACGCAGCGCAGAACCTTAGTAGAAGAGAAGATAGAAGAAGAAAAAAAGGCAAATCCAACTATTACAATGTGTTCTGCTGTACTGGAGCAGATCAAAGACTTTAAGGTAAAAAGAGAGAAAATACAGTAATATTTAACATCTGGGGAAAATCATGAGCATAGCACTCAACTCCATGAGAAACTATAGTTTACAAAATGTTTATAATTTGGTTACAGTAGGAACTTGTTCATTCATATAAATTACTGGGGAAACCCCTTGAAAATGACTGCACTTTGTGGAATGTTGAGTGATCTATAGGGGCCAGATTGGGTCAAACCAGGAATCGATAGATAGGGCAAGAGAGGAACAGAAGATCTCTTTCTTCCTCACTACCCTAATGGAACCAGGAAGGGTCAGGCCCAAAGTATAGGAAGTGACAAACTGCAACCCATTTGGATCCATTCATCAGAGTAATCTTCATTGCCTAGAAGGCTGAACTTGCTGTTTTTTAAGGCTCAAACCCAAAATAATAATAGTGAACTGCTGCAACAGGATTTTTCCTAAGATCTTCTACGAAGTGCTCATGGCTGCCTTGGCTTGGCTTCTTGAAATAACAGATAAATATTTAGAGTAGGGCTGACAAACGATTAAAAAAATTAATTGCAATTAATTGTGAGATTAAAAAAAATAGTTGCAATTAATTGCAATTTTAATCTCATGGTTAAACAATAGTCAATACCCTCCCACACCCAACAGCCAGGAACTGGTGTGCCCTTCAGCTCCTCCCCACCACCATCAATAGCGCACAACACCAGCCCCAAACCCAGCCTGCCCCATGCCTGTTCCAGACTCACTCTGGCTGGAGTGGACTAGCCAGAACCTGTGTGAACAGCTCTGCCCCTGGCCTGCCACATGCCTGCTCCAGACTCACCTGCCCACACTGAGTAGTGACAGTGGCCACCTACCTACTCCCCATCACTGCTGCTGGGCCCTTCTTGCTGCAGCCACCTGGAGCCCGTGCCTGGGCTGCCCTGCAGCTCCTCTGCACTGGCACTGCTGCCCTGCTAGATGGCCTGAAGGTGGCGGTGATGGCAGCAGAGAGGAGCCACAGGGAACCCGGGTGCCACCTCTGGGTGGCTGCAGCAAGAAGAGCCCAGGAGCGGTGAGGGAGAGGGGTTGTTTTCCCCCATGCTGAGTAGCAGCTTCTGCCCAGCCGCTGCTGCTTCTCCTGCTGCTTGGCATGGGTGGGTGTCTAGAGCAGGTGCAAGACAGACCAGGGTCAGGTTCCATGTGCACGGGTTCTGGCTAGTCTGGAACTGGTCCACTTTGCTGGTCAAAATGATGTGCACGATTAACATGATTAAAAAAAATAATGTGTTCATTTGTTTTGTGTTAATCACGTAAGTCAGGGGATACTAGGGAGGGCCCTAGGGGTATGTGTGGGTGGGCGGGGACAGAGCGCCACTGCCCACCACCCCACGCCTCCACCTCCCAGGAGCAGGGCTGGGGGGCAGATGAGGGCAGTGGCTCCCCTCTGCGGATCACACAAGCACTGCCCAGCCAGCTGGACATGGGGGGCAGGGGAAACTCTCACACAGTGGCCACGGCCACTTCCCACCACCCTGCGCTGCTGCTGCCGCTCTGCATTTGGCTGCGTGCCACCTTCCACTCCCTGTTCCACGTCCGGCCACCAGGAGTACACTTACTAAAAAGGTTGAAAATCTCTGGCGTAAGTTAACTGCAGTTGACAGCCCTAATTTAGAGTAATTTCTTTTTACTCTCCTGCCAAGGTCTACATTCATGATTTTGTAATTGTTCTGCAACAGGTAATGTATAACTTTGGCAATAATTTAAGGGGGGCAGTGAATGGAGCCATCTGTATTGTTTGGGTAACCAATTGCCTTGTGTAACATTGTTGCAGGAAGGTATCTGAATTTGGATGTATAAAAAAACTCTTTCACTTTCTAGAATGTTTATCAGCAAATTTCTCACCCCCAGTTCACCATCAGTACATGTTCATTGGTGGTAATGTTTTATCAGACAAGGTTTAGACTGAAATGGAAAGTGTCTAAGAGATTTAACTTGGGTATCAGGAACAGCTGCATCTTCCAAGGTATTGGAATGTGAACTTATGTACCGAAAATAACAGTAGACCTAGATATTATGGACAGTTACTTAATATTCAGTCTCTCTGGAAATAGTAGTAGAAATGTTGAGCAGCAGCAAGTGTTGAAAGTGACCTTTTATGCTAGATGCAAAAAAGGAGGATGAGCAAATATAGGTAAGTCATAATTCGCATAATTTGCAAAATGTTTGTTTACATAGATGGGAGTCTGCTTTATAATTACTTTTTTCCCCCCCAACTAGGAATATATCCCTACAGTGACTATCCTTTGTAACCCTGGCATAAGGACTCGCCACTGGCAGCAAATGTCAGGTATAATAGGATATGATTTAACTCCAGACTCTGGAACTACCCTGAGAAAAGTTTTAAAGCAGAACCTTGGCCCTTGCCTGGAACAATTTGAAACCATAAGTATAGGTGCAAGTAAGGTGAGCAGAATGATTTGGTTGTAAAAACCTCTTAAGAAAGAAATGAAGAATAAAGTATGTTTCTATACTATTTTTATGGCTTACTAAAACTACGATTTTTGTTTTCTTGGTATTATGTGACTCTTGATTAGAGCTACTTATTGTCAGTGTGAGCCACTGGATGGAGTATTGAACATAATTTTGAACTTGTGCACATTTGTGGCTTATTTGGCATCATTAATGGTACCTGGTTTTTATATCTCAGAAAATTTAATATTAAGAAAAATAGTAACAGAAGGCAATGATTTGATGTTAGAACAAAATGAAAATTTACCTAATAATTATTTAAGGATGTTCACTTATATATTGAATGCATCAAATGGAGAAAACAGTGACTACAAAACCTTCCTTCCTTCTCCTTGCTAGGAATTTTCCTTAGAGAAGGCAATGCATACTATGATGGAAACCTGGGATTCAGTGTCCTTCAATACAAGCATTTATCGTGAGACTGGAGTTCGTATTCTGTCTTCAGTAGATGAAATTCAGACTATTCTAGATGATCAAATTGTAAAAACTCAAACAATGAGAGGATCACCTTTCATTAAACCGTTTGAAAAAGAAATCAAGGTATGATAAACCACCTTTTAAAACTGACATTTTTATTCAATGGACAACTATTATAAAGTACGAGACCACCTGTATTGTCTCATTATTGTGGTATTTTTCATTAGAAAAATCTAATATTTAAAAAATTACTCTTGAGGATAATTTTAAGTATACCCAAAGTGTTTTTATTTTTTTTTAATGTTGAAATGCTGAAATTTCTTTCTCTTCCTATGCCAAGTCTGAATTCAGTAGAGAGAATATGAAGCCATTATAAATCATTTTATAAGAATCTCTACACCCATTTTAATGTATTGCAGTTATGTTTTCATTATCTTCAGTACTGAGAGCCAGATCCAAATAAAATTTGTAAGCATCTGAAACAGTCAGTGATTATATAAGGTAAAAAGCAAAAAGAGCCTTGGTAGTGAGGGCTTGAACCCAGCCCCTCATCTGAAATGAGCGGTCGCCCACTGGACTACCATGTCACTCCGGTTTGCTTGCTCTTCTGGCCCCATCAGTGTCTTGTACTTTGACTTCACAGTAGCCAAGTGTCGATGGGCGGTTGGGAGGGAGATCACACCTATCTTGGCCTGTAGTCTAGTGGTTAGGATAGCATTAAGTTCTCTCAAGATGTAGGTCTGTGTCCCCTCAGGATGAGGAGGGGCCTAGAAGCCTTGTGTGTCACTTCAGCTCCATCCTTACTGGACATGTTAACAGTGAATAAGGGATGCCTTTTGGAGTAAGACATTAAAGATTTTGTGGTGCTTAAATGGAGGACTCTATATGGTCATATATATCATATCGTATCCCCTTAAGGGCTGGAAAAAAATTCCGTAGGCTGCTGCAGAAAAACTGTAGAGTCACCTGCAAATGCCATTCTGTAATCTAAAGGCTAGGGTAGTCTTTGTGGTTACTGCATCTCCCCAACTTTAAATTCAGTCTTCCAGTGTGAACCTGCTGTCTCTGTCACTGCATCTGTATCTCATTAATGCACAAGTGAGTTCACTAAATGCAGATGGTTTACACCTTTTACACAAATCCTTCAAATCTGGCCCCATTTATAAAGTGATAGACTATAAACTGCTTTAGTGGTGTGAGCAAGAGTATCTTTGGATACCAGGGAGCATGATCTGTTTCTAATGGCACCTAAACATGAGATTATTGAAAAATGCGAATACTAAAGTAAGGCAAAGCCCTACGAGGAGAGACTGAGGGACCTAGCTCTCTTCAGCCTTCGCAAGAGAAGACTGAGAGGTGATCTTGTGGCTGCCTATAAATTAATCAGGGGAGGGCAGCAGGGAATAGGAGATGCTCTATTTACTAGGGCACCCCCTGGAGTAACTAGGAACAATGGCCACGAATTGACGGAGAGCAGATTTAGGTTAGACGTTAGAACGAAATTCTTCACAATAAGGGTTGCCAGAATCTGGAATGGGCTTCCAAGGGAGGTGGTGCTCTCCCCTACCCTGGGGGTCTTCAAGAGGAGACAGGACAAGCACCTGGCTGGGGTTGTCTGACCCCAGCGCTGTTTCCTGCCCAGGACAGCAAGTCAGACTCGATGACTTACTGAGGTCCCTTCTGACCCAAACATCTATGAATCTATAATCTGATAGTGCCTTTAAGTGAGCAATCTGCACTAAAATCTGCAAATTAGTCCCCTGGTAGATTAGAGTTTGTAAACTGTATCAGCATTATATGTCCAGGGAAGAACTTTAATTTTCCTGTGGTTTTCTTGTCTGTTTCTGTTGTCGCCTTGGAAGGGTGTTATGCTATCTATACAGTTTGTTTTCTTTATGTTCATATACTCTCTTTAAACATATATAATATGACTGTAGTGCAGTAAAAATTTTAATACATTTGTAAAGGAATGGGAAGATCGTCTGATTCGAGTTCAGGAGATTATCGATGAATGGCTGAAAGTGCAAGCTCAGTGGCTTTACTTGGAACCCATCTTTTCTTCAGAGGACATCATGCAACAGATGCCAGAGGAGGGACATCTCTTCCAGACTGTAGACAGATATTGGAGAGACATTATGAAATATTGTACCAAAGACCCTAAAGTAAGCCATGGCATACTCCAGATGATTAAGACGACATGTTTTCCCCATTCAGTTCTGTCAGTAATTTAGTAACCAAATATATTTAATGAACTTTTATCCCACTCGCATCAAGTGTAAAAGCACTCATCATAAATTTATCAGTTTTATAGCCTTTACTATACACTGTACCTTGACTGTGACTTTTGATGTGAATTCACAAGTGATTACATATCTTTTATTACAGGTTCTTTCTGCCACTTCGTTGACAGGTTTATTAGAGAAGCTTCAGAACTGTAATGAGCTTCTGGACAAAATTATGAAAGGACTTAATGCTTATCTTGAGAAAAAGCGTCTCTTCTTTCCTCGGTATACTGCTTGTTCATTGTTCAATGCTTGTTCTACTGTATAAAAAGCTTGACATATATAATAACTTAATACTTCTGTTCTTTGTGTGAATCTTTTTTTAGATTTTTCTTCTTGTCCAATGATGAAATGTTGGAGATTTTGTCAGAAACTAAAGATCCTCTTAGAGTTCAGCCTCACTTGAAAAAATGTTTTGAGGGCATTGCTAAACTGCATTTCCTTCCTAATCTGGATATTAAGGCAATGTTCAGCTCTGAAGGGGAACGAGTTGAACTGATTTCAACCATTTCTACTTCTGAAGCTCGAGGTGCGGTGGAAAAGTGGCTGGTCCAAGTTGAAGATATTATGCTAAGGAGTATACATGATGTTATAACTAATGCAAGAGAGGTGTGTTTTCTAATACAGACTTGGGCTCCATCCTGCAAATGTTTGCTTGTACCCAGAGTCCCTGCTTCACTTTTAGGGCCCACTCCTGCAGGCTTTTTATACCAGAAGTCCTCCTGACTTCAATTAAATTTAAGTATATGAAGGTTTGTTAGATCAAGTTCAATTTATTAATCTGAGACTTGTAGTTATACAACTATGAGGTCAGTGGGAGTTTTGTTTGAATAAGGACTGAATTATGTTGTGTTTTCTTCTGTGTAAAATAAGCCTGACAGCAATAGGAAACTTCTAAGATTCCTTGTTTTAGTTTTTCACTCCTTTTTTAGCTAATTAAAAATTAAAAGTAATCAAAATGCTTGTTGCAAGTTTGACTTCACCTAAAAGAGAACCACAATTGCCAAATTAGTATGCTAGGCAGATTTTCATAATTAACATGAACACTTCAAACATTTTTTGCTCTTTAAACACAAAGAAGGAAGAAACTGTAAAGAAGAAAGGCAATTTAAAATACATATTTTGTGGTGGCTTTGAACCCCCCCACCCCCCCCCAGATAGTGGGCATTCCAAAGCCTATTATTATATTATATTATATTATATTATATTATATTATATTATATTATATTATATTATATTATTACCTTGATGATTGTAATGCAAAGGCATAGTTAACAGTACACATCCAGTTATTTACTTGTGACACTGTTAAGTAATGCATTTAACTTTTTTAGGCATATCCAGAGACTGAGAGAAAAAAATGGGTTCTGGAGTGGCCCGGACAGGTGGTTCTGTGCGTATCTCAAATGTTCTGGACAAGCGAGGTACATGAAGCCATTTGCAGTGGGCCAGAGGTAATAGTAATCTCATTATTTTTGCTTTTTTGTTATTTTGTTCAACTAAGGCATTCATCTTCCTCACCCAAGATAAGTTTGGATAAAGCAACTGATAAGAAACATTAAAACATAAATGTGTAAATTACCTTTGGGTGTTTCAAATGTTAATTAATGATTAAAATCCAAAGATTGGGTAGCCGAGTCTTCATTTTCCTAGAGGATACTCAAACAAGTGATACACAGAGAATGGGGATAGTGAGTACTGCCTACAAATTTTACATTTT